TTTGTAACCAGTGTTTGAATATTTGCTCGCTTTGCTCAGCTGAGCTTAGGAGTCTCCTCACTAACTATGGAAGTCCATATATGATTCCGGGTAGAAATGGACAGGAATCAACAATAATCTCGCAAAATTTCCACAGAATTTCCACCAACACATGTGGTTGACCATGTGCATATTTTCCCCCCACACTGTTTGTAACAGATCTCCCATTCCTCACCTGTACCAGCTGACGGTCGCTCCCTCGGGTGTGGTCACACCGTCGGCATAGCCGTGGCGCATGATGCGCTCATGAGTCATCCAAGTCGTGTGCAGCCTTCTTACGTAGAGTGAATCTCCTAAAGGCTCCGGGCTCAAATGAACAGGATCATAAGACTCCTCGAAACCCTCCTGATATCTGCTTTTCCAGAACTGTCACTAAAATCTCGCACCACGTAACTCACCTTGCGAGATGGTCTCGAATAATCGGTTCCAGTTGGGAAGCTTGAGGACTGCATACCTCAGCCACGAGCATCACAGCCTTCACTGTAGGGTCCAGGCGGCATCGGAGGTAGTCCACCCAAACGTAAGAAGTCAGTCGTCCGAACGCACTGTATATGATACGACGCAGTTCCTGATCGAAGGTGTGCAGAGAGCATCGATGACGGACTGTTCCTTACACTTTTATCAACTTCAAGATCGTCTACCCATCTGTTGATAGGCAAGTACTCCTTCGCTAAGAGCGTAAGACCAGTGTCCCTGAGGGTATCAATGACCCCACCGGGCCCCACTCGGCTCACCTCAGCTCTCCAGCTTCGACCCACTCTCCCCTGTCAATCCACGACCATATAGATCGCCAGTCGCCGCCAGACTGCCGGCAATTCTTCTGCTCAACCTCGATGGCTTCGACATCGGAGGCATCCTGAGATCGGGAAGTAGCAGGGTTGGGTCGGAGCTGCGGGGGCTCACGACGATGCTTCCAGTGAAGAGCTCGCAGAGGGAAGAATCGCCCCGTCTGAGTACAGCACAACAGCCTTGGAGAGATTCGCAGGCCTGACAAAGTGTCATTGTTTCTCGTTATGAGAACGTGAGCTCTTTCGCAACATTATAGCCCGATTAGTTCAGCTGGATAGAATGTCTGCCTACGGAGCAGATGGTCGTAGGTTCGAATCCTGCATCGGGTACTTTTCCATCTCACCTTCCTCGTCCAAGAGTTCTCTATCCAGAGAGTAGTCATCGCTAATTCCCTTCCCACCTCCTCACAACGATCTCGATCAACCACCCGGACCTCTTTCAACGAGTAACTAACAACGCATGTCCGCAACCCTACAGAGTCTCCACTTCATCACTGTTGGAGCGCAGGGTCATAATTTCCCCTCTCCAACTTCGAGTGGATTCTGCCAGTTTCTGCACCCGGCGTGAGCAAGTCTGCTGAAGCGTCTGCCATGTCCACCACCTGCATAGATTCCACTCAACAGCAGCCCAGTATCGAGCCTACTATCAGGCCCCATGGGCTCTCCTGGATCGGCACGAAACAAACATCGAGGCCTCTGTGGCAGCCTTGCCATAATAGATCGAAATCAATCGTCGGTAAAATGCATCTGGAGCCCATTAGCAGATGAGAAATATGAAGCAGACGTTCTCGACCTTCCTGTGACCCCGCCTTCCCTTAACTGCAAGCTTCTCGCACTGGAGCACCTCCCGGCCAACCGGCACGAGGTCGGGTCCTGGCACTGCCTGAGAGAAGGAATGACAATGTCTTGTTGGTCAAGAACCAACCTGTGAGCAGATCGGCACTTGAGGAGTTTTGCTATATCATCGTCATCACAGGTGGTGAAGGGCTCGTAGTCTGCGCATCTTCGGATCGTTTGCAGCGGGCCCACGCAGAATCTGCACGTCCATCGAGGCCTCCTCGAGGAGCCAGCATGGTCACTCACACGAGTGGTCGATGGGGTAACGCACACACACCTTGCCCTGGTGAGGTCTGCTCAATTCGACCGGAGACGACGTTGAAGAGGCGTCCTGTCACCCACACTCCCCCTTGTTGGTCGCGGCAATCGGTCTCATTACGAGGCTGAAAACAGTAGCAGATATGATTTCCAATACCCTTTCCAGGACTGACTCTGTAGTCGAGACAGATACCATTAGGTTCTGTCGGTAGGTTGTCGCTTTTACAATAAGGGCACTCAGCACCAACACACCCAGCCTTGGCAGCACAAAGATCTGCCTCTCGTATCTGAGCAGATTCGACATCGTCCTAGCAATTGACGAGCAACAACTCACTCCATGATCAACGTTGCATACAGGGAAAGAACAGCTTCGACTCGTGGTCCGTACCCCTTGAGACCAGTGCCGGTTCGGTACCGATTTGAAAAACCTAATTATGGGTAGTCCCAACAACTCCACCATGCACCGCTCACGCCATGGAGTCCGTGGATCGACACGAGATACTCCTATAGCGACCTTTCCACGTCTCGTATTCTGCCAACAGCTCTGTATCGACCTCCGTTGGAAGGGTCATGTTGAACTCCACAAACTCCTCCTCAGCTTCTGAGAATTCACTCGGCCAGCCGCGACTCGACAGACCTACGGACAGCCTGTTCTCGTTGAGTTCACAATCTAACACACCTGGTTCCTCGAATAGGTCGGCATCAACATCACCAAGATAAGGGCTAGAGGCCCTAGTAGGCCCACCAAAGAGCCCCAAAGGGTCTGGGAGCCGGTACAAGCATCCTCCTCTACCATAGTTCATATCAGAATTCCACTCCAGGAATGTTCCTGTGAGAGAAACCTTCTGCACAGTAGCACTCCCACGCACACCTCCCAGAGTCTTATCAGCCGACAGTCCCAACAAGGACTTGCCAAAGCTGCTGATCTCTGTGAAAGGCTGCGTTTTCGATCGCTCTATTTGTTCCAACCTGTGATCAGACACTTCACATTCCAAGGGCTATACACCACCTCCGTCGTTGCCCATCTACACCTTCCAAAACTTCACGTTCGCACCTCTCATACGCTACGACCGGATCGAGAGCTGAGCAAGGGAGAATCCAAAAGCAACCTCCCTGTTATTGTTGTTGTATTTTTCCGATCAACCAAAGAATTTGACTGATTTCAGATCACAGTTCTTCAATCTTCATCAGCCCATCCTCGTGTTTATTTCATTTTTTTATCCGCGTCATTTCGGCCATACACTGTGACAGTGTCACTGTCAAGGGAAGACCCCAACCTACTCAGCTGAGTGATATCGCCCTCGAATACAAAGTCGTGCATACATGTGTTGCGGTCTCGTAGGCATTTTATAGTTTCCCTAAGAGGTGCTCTTAAGTTCACTAACGCCTTGTGAACTCACACGTCCTTAAAACCTGTGTCGGTTGACGCTGTCCACGGCGCTTGATTATCATACAACACATCCTCATCTGAGATTTTCTCGAGGTGTGGTATGAAAATAATGCCACCACCTCACGTTTGAAGAGCCCTTTACAAGTCGTCCAAGACTGAACAATATGTGGCTCGTAAGCATCCGGGTCGTAGGTCACAACGGGAAGGGAATCTCCCACACTCCTGAGCTTGCAGTCAAAATGCCGATGATTTCGACGATTTACGGTAGGGGGTTTCCAATATCATTCAGAAGGCAGTCCGGCAAGCACAGGTCAATACAACAGGTTTGGCACTCTGTACAGTTGCCGGTCGCCCTAAGGTAGAGTTACTCTCAGTGTTGTGTATATTATTGTAATATTCACATTACATTTCAAACAATTACTTCAACAAGAAATGCAGTACGAAACGCCGCGTATTTGATCTATTCCAGTACTCACCGGCTAGCCTCAGACGAAGCTTTGAATCAAGTAGTAGCATTTCCACACGGAAAATGCATGCTAGTAAACTACACAGGTGTTGTTATTCTGTGAATAACTATATCTCTAGCCAAATTCGAGTATCGGAATTATTTTTCACTTCGGCCAAAATTCTATAATGATGGAGTTTCACCCGTTTTACGTGAAGTGGCGAAAAACCTGACATTCGCACTATGCAGTAGTCGCGAAATATGTTTTTACTAGTGTTTTTCATATCACCAGGGTGAAACTCCAATGATGATGATATTCGCAGTCACATATGAGTTCACTCACTCCTGTAACAGTGCTCTTGCTGAACTGCAATAGAACGAGAGCCTCTCTTTCACGTTTGCTATACACGTATGACAATCACAATGGCATCGATATTCACATGAAGCATTCAGACTAGTTTGTAGTATGTCGCCTGAATAGCCACTGAGAGTACAATATATTCATAGTCGTACTAGGGGAGGGACCAACAAGCTCGACCAAGCTCGGCTGCTGCGCACTGTACTCTTCACCGCTGATTGCCACCTGTGTGGGGGAATATACACATAATCAACTACATGTGTTGGTGACAGTATGAAAATTCTGGGAAGAAATTTGTATAACATTTTCTACCCAATTCATATGAAAACTTCTGAGCTCAGCCGAGAAAAACGAGCATATATTCCAACGCAGTTACTCACCTGTTGTTGTTGGTCCTTCCACAGAGCATAGACATCCCTAATCCTTGCCTCCTCAGCATTTCTATCCACCAATTTCGTCGTAACTCGTCCCTCCACGAAACTTCGAACTGAACCTGACCAGAAAATCATCCAGGAACCTATAAGACTTTTGCATTTTCCACGTATGGCTAGGAACATTCTTTAAACAGTTTCCAATGTAAATGTCACCACTTTAGGAACATTTTTTCCATTTTTATCAAACCCTGGGGAACGTTTTCTCTCAAAGTGCGTTCGCTGTTTTCAACTTCTCTACACTTTACAGTAGGCTGGCTGTGGATGCGGCGATCTGAAATTCTCGTCGATTTCCAAAAAAGCACCACTAGTTGGAACTTCCAAACCGTCGTCCACACGATAGTGTACAGTCGCGTCACCCTCCACACCATCGAAACCTGCAAAACCAATTCAACCAAATTCAAGCACGAAAGTT